AGGATTTTACTTTAATTGGCTAAGCATCGACCATAGTTGAATTGAAGAAGAATAGAAAGGCAACCAAACACATATTGAGAATGCCTACATTCTAACAAACGTGGAATTTGATTGGAATTTAGGAGTTTTACAAAGTTACTCGTAAACACTTGTGACATCCGAAGAAACCAATCTCCGACATTAGTCAAACTAATGAAAAAAGAAAAAGAAACATCACAAGAAACATATAAATGTAAATAAGACAACATAATCCATTATTCCGACTGGCAAAATATTTGTATCAGAAACACATAAAACATGTACTTAACTTCCGATAATGCGAAGCACCTTAAAGGCAAATGTCGCAATGTAATTACATGGGATATTGCTGATCTTAACATAAACAAATCCAAAAGTAGTATTTTATTCCAAAGTGCTAAATTACTAGACAAATATTGCTCTTTTGAAGATAAGTGCATCGGTAACAGTATGTGATTGAATGCATTCAATGTCATTTGGATAAATGTTTTAATATATTCATGGTTATGTTCGAGGTTGCATTGTCAAATCATCTATGAAGGCTTTATATATGTATTACCATTTGTTAAGTGTCAAAAAATATAGAATGACATTTTGCTTGCAATTTCGTAAGAATTCTGAAGAAAACTTTTTAAATATATATATATTGGTTAAATAAATGTATTGTATTGTTTAGATATGTGAAATGTATTGTATATAGATATATACAGAGAAAGAAACTTCGTGCAGTCCTGCACCAAAGTTACATTCGTAAAGGCGCGTTTTCATTTTTTGCTTCCTTGAGCAATAATGATGAGTCAGTGACCGTAAAAAAAGAGCAATTTCACTAAAAGAAACCGTATGACAGACGAATAGATTATTCAATTCAATCTAACTTGTTGTAAGCTCGGAAGGATGTTTGACACGGCTTCATGTCGGGAACCGTATTTTTTCCAATTAAATTAACTGTATAACTGAAATCACTGCTCAGTCTCATTCTTGTTTGCATTATTGTCTGCTGTCTCCGTAAAGATGAAATTGACAACAGTTGAATCTTTGACTGACACAAATTTATTGACTAGCCATTAAACCAAATTAGATTTTATAATTGGCATCTGTTTTTGAAATGTAATTACCATTTAACGTTAACAGGACTTCAGGTTGTATGGATGAATTTGCATGTAAAGCTTATCGGCGTTGTAAGGAACACGATTAGTGCTAAGTAGATATATTTATAGGGACAAGTTGTTGGAACTTTAATGACATTAAATGATATATTTGACTTCCGCACGATTCCAACATTGTTTTGCCTTTGCACAGCCTTTCAATCATTGATTTATTAGGACACTGCCAAAGATCCCTTTTTATATATCCATTCTATAGGACATTACCATACTAAGCTAATTTGGAGGTCCGCGGATTTTCCGCACTAATATATACCTAATTTTATAAGACCGCAAAAAAATTTTACGGTCGTATATTGGTATGACGTTGGCATCGTCGTTGTCGTCGTCGTCGTCGTCGTCCGGCGTCGTCGTCGTCGTCGTCGTCGTCCGGCGTCGTCGTCGTCGTCGTCCGAAGACAAATTGGTTTTCGCACTCTAACTTTAGTTTAAGTGAATGGATCTCTATGAAATTTTACCATAAGGTTCAATACCACAAAAGGAAAGTGGGGATTGATTTTGGGGGTTATGGTACCAACATTTAAGGAATTAGGGGCCAAAGAGGGGCCAAAAATAAGCATTTTTGTAACTTCCAGACATAACTTGTGTGTTAGTGTATGGATCTCTCTGACATTGTACCACAATGTTCCATATCACAAAGGGAATGCTGGGATTGATTTTGGAGGTAATTGCCTCCAAATTTTAGGAATTAGGGGCCAAAAAGGGGCAAAAAACAAGCATTTTTCTAGTTTCATGACAATAACTTGTGTGTAAGTGTATGGATCTCTCTGACATTGTACCACAAGGTTCCATATCACAAAGGGAAAGCTGGGATTGATTTTGGGGGTAATTAATTGCCTCCAAATTTTAGGAATTAGGGGCCAAAAAGGGGCAAAAAACAAGCATTTTTCTAGTTTCATGACAATAACTTGTGTGTAAGTGTATGGATCTTTATGAAATTGTACTACAAGGTTCCATATCACAAAGGGAAAGCTGGAATTGAGTTTGGGGGTAATTGCCCAAAACGTTTAGGAATAAGGGGCCAAAAAGGGGCCAAAAATAAGCATTTTTGTAACTTCCAGACATAACTTGTGTGTTAGTGTATGGATCTCTCTGACATTGTACCACAATGTTCCATATCACAAAGGGAATGCTGGGATTGATTTTGGGGGTAATTGCCTCCAAATTTTAGGAATTAGGGGCCAAAAAGGGGCAAAAAACAAGCATTTTTCTAGTTTCATGACAATAACTTGTGTGTAAGTGTATGGATCTTTATGAAATTGTACTACAAGGTTCCATATCACAAAGGGAAAGCTGGAATTGAGTTTGGGGGTAATTGCCCAAAACGTTTAGGAATAAGGGGCCAAAAAGGGGCCAAAAATAAGCATTTTTCTAGTTTCCAGACAATAACTTGTGTTCAAGTGTATGGATCTCTCTGAAATTGTACTGCAAGGTACCATACCACAAAGGGAAGGTTGTGATTGATTTTGGGGGTAATTGCCTCAAATTTTAGGAATTAGGGGCCACAAAGGGGCAAAAAACAAGCATTTTTCTAGTTTCATGACAATAACTTGTGTGTAAGTGTATGGATCTTTATGAAATTGTACTACAAGGTTCCATATCACAAAGGGAAAGCTGGAATTGAGTTTGGGGGTAATTGCCCAAAACGTTTAGGAATAAGGGGCCAAAAAGGGGCCAAAAATAAGCATTTTTATAGTTTCCAGACAATAACTTGTGTTCAAGTGTATGGATCTCTCTGAAATTGTACTGCAAGGTACCATACCACAAAGGGAAGGTTGTGATTGATTTTGGGGGTAATTGCCTCAAATTTTAGGAATTAGGGGCCACAAAGGGGCAAAAAAACAAGCATTTTTCTAGTTTCATGACAATAACTTGTGTGTAAGTGTATTGATCTTTATGAAATTGTACTACAAGGTTCCATATCACAAAGGGAAAGCTGGGTTTGAGTTTGGGGGTAATTGCCCTAAACGTATAGGAATTTGGGGCCAAAAAGGGGCCAAAAAAAAACAAGCATTTTTCTACTTTCAAGACAATAACTTGTGTTCAAGTGTATGGATCTCTCTGAAATTGTACTACAAGGTACCATACCACAAAGGGAAGGGTGGGATTGAGTTTGGAGGTGATGAATCATAAGGGGGTTCAAAAAATTTGGGGGGGGGATTTTTTTTTTCCTTTTTCTTCTTTAAAATTTTCCATTTTAAATTGGTTATTTCTGATTTATATATAAAAGCAAATAATAATGATATGGTTTGAATAGGTAAATTAAAAAAAAATAAGTCCTAAGACCACATTCATTCTGTGTCAGAAACCTATGCTGTGTCAAATATTTAATTATAATCCAAATTCAGTGCTGTATCAAGCTTGAATGTTGTGTCCATACTTGCCCCAACTGTTCAGGGTTCGACCTCTGCGGTCGTATCAAGCTGTGCCCCAGCGGAGCATTTTATTTTATAATGCATAAATGTAATTTGAAAGTTGCTCGTCCATATTTTCCAACGAAAATGATAGCTTAAGGCTTGAACTAGTGGATTGAATGGTCAGCGGTTGACAACTGCATGACGATCAATTATCGGATCCCCACTATCACGGTACCATGTAGTAATTTGGAAGATTCTTTATTTGAAACAACAAGGTATATGCTATTTGAACAGGTATTGTTGCAGTGTGTCAGTTATTAGCATTGGTTGATACATGTAGCTTACCATAAGCACTGCGGTTTCTTCGAGATCACTAACAAATTTAAAGCTAACCGCCATAATTGGCCATAGTACGAGAGTTTTTTCTGAACTATTGATGACGATTCTGAATAAATCTGCTACATTGTGCAACTACAGATATATGAGATTAAGTCGGTGTGATTCTGATATTTTGAACTTTTTGTCGTTTGTCTTTTTATACCGGTAGTATAAATAAAGTGTCCATTGTTAAAACTGCACGTAGACTTATGATAGCGACACAGTTTCTTTAGGGCCTTATATGTCTTAAAAGGTATTATTTTGTTCTTATGGGAACACCCTAACCTGCTTTCATTAATATGTACAAAATAACCCAACCAACTAATAGTTTGATACAAAAATGAATTGAACTATTTTTCATCATACTCATATGTCATGTATGTGTTACTACGACTGAAATATTTTAGCCAGATATTTCATCAAAATCCTTATTCTAAAATTCGCATCCTGAATAACGTGAAATCGTTAAATGACTGGTAATTGTCCCTACTTCCAAGTGTTAAAAACTTTAGAAGGAAACATAACTTATATAAATGGTTACATAAATCTTTTTATGAGTCATTCATTTTGCCGAATTTCATTTGTTTTAAACAAAGGCTGTATTTTATTTGTGCAATTTATATTGCATTCCTACAAAATCATTCTTGATTAAAACGCAAAATCTATATTAGACCATAAAATTTTTTTTTTAAAATCAGAACAAAAATTGTTTTATGGGTACATAGTTTGATTTGTAATTGATGTAAGTGAGTCACATGCAGAGACACCCTTTAAAACAGTACCTCGGGAAGAGATGCAATTAAATTTAAGTGCAAACAGAGGATGTACAACTTGAAAATAAAATGACAAAACAAAACACTATGAAAGAACAAGCTATAAGACGTATTGAACTTCCTGCGACGATTTTGTACTACCTTAATTAGTTTTAATTACTCAGATATAAGTTGAAATAAATATGTAAAAATGAGACATAGCTGGTATTGGAGTGAGGAATTAAAACAAATGTGAAACTGAATTTAATTAGGATTGAGTTTTTGATTAAATGGAGCTAGTGATTAATGTCTTCTTTCTGTTTTTGATTCCAGTATGTCGTTCATGGGCACAACCTCGTCTCAACACCGTTTCGACCACCATTACACAGACATCTGGGTATTCAGCTGTTCTCAATTGCCAGGTCTACAATTTGGATGATGCAAAGGTAAAGTAGATTATTTAATTTTTTTATGAATCTGTAGTTACGGATTTTCAACCGGATATTCGAAGGAAAAATCGGTTATTGATTTTAGGGATGTACGGCGGGCGGGCTGGCAGGAGGCTGCCAAACAGTGTCCGTTCATTAACATACAAAAGCTTTGACGAATTGTTTTCAAATTTAGATATGTTGTTTCCAGTGACTAAATGATGGTCAAGTTCAATTTTCACGATTTTTGCTTTTCTCGTTGTTGAGTTGTAGACCTTTCAGTAGCCAAAAAATGATACATATAATATGATTGAGTTATTTCCCTTTGAACAGAAATGGTGTAGTTAATAAGTATATGTATAGATAGTCTATCAATGATTGTATCTGTTCAATTGATTTAAGTCAGGAGTTGTCAAAAATTTCTTTATAACTATTTTTTTTAAGTCATGTGTGTTTTGAAGGAAGATGTCACAGTTGTTATGTGGTATTTTATGTTTGTTGTGTGTGTTAATGATTGTTTAATTTTTACTTGATCCTGTTTGGGGGTCCAGATTTGCAAATATCATTTTCATTAGATGATAATCTTTTTTTATTAAAGGATATATTTCATTAAATTACATTGTGTAGATAAAGTTGTTGACATTGGTAGATAAGTTGCAGATCTATATTAGTTTGTGACAAATGAAAGAAAAAATATTGGGAACTATTAATTATATATATAAAGTTTGATTACACTAAGTGTTTTTAAATAATTTTCACCTGTTATCAGATGACAAAGCATGTGGTAAATATCAATCACACAATTATAATTGGAGTGACAGATTTATTTGAAAATTTTCAAAATTATGGAAATGTTGAAACTTTACAATATGGACAAATTTTGTAATGTAGATGAGTATATACTCGATAAAAATACAATTTATCAGTTAGAAGAAAATATTTTTTGATAATTATAAAAATTGCTGAAGTACAAGGCTTGATTCATATGGTCAAGGAAATAAGTTGAGAACTTTTAAATTGTTTAAATTTTCATACTCTTCTGAACAATATTTGTTACAAAATATACCTACTTGGTGTTGCAGTGCATATGCTAAATTTAGATGTGAAGTAGCACCTTTAAAAATTGAAACTGGTCGTTACGAAAGATTAGATTTAGATAAAAGATTGTGTTTCAATTGTAATAATATAGAAGATGAAAAACATGTATTGTTAACATGTCCAGTATATGAAGATCTAAGACAGTCTTTATTTATTGATATAATTCATCAACATAATAATATGTTGTTAACTTTAATGATGAAAAAATTATATTTTTATTTAAAAATGAAATGTTTGTAGTTCTGTTGCCAAAACCTGCCATAATATTTTATTGCGACGAAATAGTATTTTATATCGTTGAAATTTGAAGATGATATTTTTATGTACATGTATCATTTTTATCCTTGAATGTGCATGGTGATGTTGCACTTTTATGTTTTGTGTAAATAGCAAAACTATGTTTTATTCTGATGTTTTAATATTGTATATAGTGTTGTCTGCTCTTTGGTCAGGTTGTTGTCTCTTTGACATATTCCCCATTTCCATTCTCAATTTTATTTCATAGTTCTTTTAAGAATGGCACATGCATTCTAAATTTTATATTGTGTATTAAATGTCATATTGTGTTTATACTTGTATGTATGTTGTGAGACTATAATAAACTATTGAACTTTCTAAGTGATGTTGATGATAAGCTCTCTAGGACATAATATGTTTAGTTGAAATTTACTGTTCATTATTAGACATTTTGAAGATAATCACAGATAAGCTTTATAGATTTTTTAAGGCATTGTATTAATGATAAATGATATTTTGGATTTTTATTTCTTTTCTTTGGTAAATTGTTTGAATAATTTTGTGTTAGGTTTGTTTGTTATTCAGTATAAAATAATTTTCTGAATGCCATATATATATTTTTTATGAAGCGAACTCCTTTAAAAACTAAGCTTATATTGTCTATTGATAAACATGTATATTTTTGATTTTGGGCCCAGTTTTCAAGTTGGTCCAAATCGGGGTCCAAAATTAAACTGTGTTTCATTTCAACATAAATTGAATATATATAGGGTTCTTTCAAATGCTGAATCTAAACCTGTATTTAAATTTTGGATTTTTGAGCCCAGTTTTCAAGTTTGTCCAAATCAGTGTCCGAAATAAAACTTTGTTTTATTTCTTTAGAGATTTTGGATTTTGGGCTCCTTTATCAAATTGGTCCACATTGAGGTCCAAAGGGTCCTAAATTAAACTTTTGTTTGATTTCATAAAAAATTGAGTTATTGGGGTTCTTTGATATGCTGATTCTAACAATGTACTTAGATTTTGGATATTGGACCATAATAGGTAAATGTCCAATTTCAAATTTTTCAGTTCTTTGACCACATTCATTTTGTGTCACAAACCTATGCTGTGTCAAATTCTCAATCACAATCCAAATTCAGAGCTGTTTTAAGCTTAAACGTTGTGTCCATACTTGCTCAACTGTTCAGGGTTCGACCTCTTCAGGAAAATCCGGTTTGCTGTCACTCTGACAGCCTCTTGTCACTATGTATACAAAGTTAAATGTTTCATTATTGAAACAAAACGATAATTGTAAAATCGGGACAATGTTGCTGTTTATACCTTGCAGTAGCAATCTTTAGGACCAAAGAGACGTATTAGTCACTCCTAGGCTAACGAAAAATTGATTTTGGCGTTACGGGAAATAAAGACAAAACTATATAAAAATGCTAAAGTTATTCGTGCTTGTCCTAGGAAAAGTACCTAACTACTCAAAAACTATCACTGTTACTGCCCATAAACAAAAATAGTCTATAGGATTGAAAACCAACATTCTATAGGACCGAAAACCAGAAGATATGTATAAAGACAGTCTCTGTTGAGGTTTCCCACTTGGGACAGCTTCAGATGCAATTTTCTCCTACTTTTTATACGACCTCAAAAAAATTTTGGGGTCGCATATTGCTATCACGTCGTCGTCGGCGTCGTCAGCTTCGCCGTCGTCCGAAGACATTTGTTTTCCGGACAATAACTTTAGTTAAAGTGTATGGATCTCTATGAAATTTAATCAAAAGGTTCAATACCACAAAAAGAAGGTTGGAATTGTTTTTGGGGGTGATGGTCCCAACCGTTTAGGAATTAGGGGCCAAAAAGGGGCCCAAAACAAGCATTTTTCTAGTTTCAGGACAATTAACTTGTGTATAAGTATTTTGATTGCTCTGAAATTGTACCACAAGGTTCAATACCCAAGTAGAAGGTTTGGATTTATTTTGGGGGTAATTGCCCAAACTTTTTAGGAATTATTGGCTAAAAAGGGTCTACAAGCATTTTTCTAGTTTTCAGACAATAACTTGTGTTTAAGTGTATGAATGTCTCTTAAATTGTATCACATTTTACAAAAAGAAAATGTCTTCAAATGTTATTTTTTTGGAGGTGGGGGGGGGGGGGAGTAAAAAAAAAAATTTGTTTTGGGGGGGGCAATTTTTTTCCCTCAAATTTTAAGAAATTGTTGATTTTCCAAAGAAAAATTGGGTTCACAATTTATTTTGCTAATTCTTTGTATATAGTCTGAAAACAGACTAACTAAGTATTGCGCAACAGCACAGTGTATTGCGCAACAGCAAGAAATCTTCAATTGAATATAAATTCAAATCATACCAATTTCAAGTTCTTTGACTACATTTATTCTGTGTCAGAAACCTATAATGTGTCAAATATTTAATTACAATCCAAACTCAGACCTGTATCAAGCTTGAATATTGTGTCCATTTTTGCCCCAACTGTTCAGAGTTGGACCTCTGCGGTCGTATCCATCTGTTTATTAAGTGATTTACTGGTTCTTCTTTGATATCAATTATGTTTATAGATTACGATTAGATATTGCCAATTTGCTATACACCTATATATCTTATAGTTTCTGTTATATGAGAAGGGTTACTCTTTTGTTTAAATATTGATCTTTGGATTATTCATCGAATCTTGATAAGCTCGTTGCTTTTCTTTAATTTCCTATGCTAAATAGGAAATGTAGTAATCCAGCTTTAGCTGATTCAGTATTTCGAATCAGATGGGCAGTCCATTGAAAGAGTCCAAGTATGGCCTCCTTCTCAAAGAGACATTCTTGATTACAGAAAAACACTTCTCTTTTTATGCATCTTGATATTTCAAGTGCATCTAAAACTAAAGTGTGATGTATTGACATTACAACTTACATCTAATATATCATATCTAATATATCATATCTAATGATCATATGATATGTGTTTTCTTCGTCCTCAGTCAATATACTTCTTTCAGGTCAATATATCCTTGTATCGACCTCATACATAGGCTATAATTGTTATATTATTAATTTCCGACCATATTTGTATGAAAATCGTCGTTTGATTTTGTTGGAAATTTAAAGATATCATTTTGTCTCCTAGACAATAACAACATATTAGTTGCTATTTCATTTATTTTTTATGTTTGTTTTTTAACATCCTATGTATTTGAAGATTTTTTTTCTTCAAATAATCGATCAAAGATATTTTTTAATAAAACTTTTAACTATATCATGAAATTCATTACATGACGTCACAAAGTATATCGGTTTTTAGATATTCTAAAAATAACCGTGCAATATGCTTTTTGCTATACTATGCAATATGCTTTTTGCTATCCGCCGTTTTCTGTCTACCTTCGAAAATATAGTTTAACATGTGACTATCCCTGAACGAATCAAATTAGTTAAAATATACGAATTAATAATATTATACAATTATAGCCTTTGTAGGAGGTCGATACAAGGATATATTGACCTGAAAGAAGTATATTGACTGAGGACGAAGTCCGAGGTCGATATACTTCTTTGGGTCGATATATCCTGTATTGACCTCATAAATAGGCTATAATTGTTATATTATTAATTTCCGACCATATTTGTATCAAAATCGTCATTTGATTTTGTTGTAATTTTATAGATATCATATTGTCTTCTAGACAATAACAACAGATTAGTTGTTATTTCATTTACTTTTTTGATGTTTTTTTTTTACATGTTATGTATTTGAAGATTTTTTTTCTTCAAATAATCGATCATAGATATTTTTTTATAAAACTTTTAACAATATCATTAAATTCATAACATGACGTCACAAAGTATATCGGTTTTTAGATATTCTAAAAATAACCGTGCAATATGCTTTTTGCCGTGCAATATGCTTTTTGCTATCCGCCGTTTTCTCTCTACCTTCGAAAATATAGTTTAACATGTGACTATCCCTGAACGAATCAAATTAGTTAAAATATACGAATTAATAATATTAATTTTTATCATTTTTGTTGTTGCATTTTTTGCCTGTTTTCTTGAAAACTAGAAACTCCAAAAAGGAGCAATGATTAGCAGAAAAATATCTACCAATACTTTAACGTGCCTGAAATTGTCAGTTGAAACTTAAAAGAGTTATCCTCCTTTAATGGTAATGATGAACATACAGATGAGCGACACAGACCTTTTAGAGCCTCTAGTTAATGGTCATTCCTCGTTTTTGTTTGTTATATATGTTCATTGTTATTTCTAAGCTGAAAACTGTTTTAACATTACTTAATATAGAAAAAATAATTATCCCAATCACTTACCAAAACGAAACGGTCGCCAATCTTTCGGCAAGTTCAAAGAACCGACAAGGGTTACCTGATTATTTGAGAACAAATGAAAGTACTGATGGAAATGTATGAAGTTATTAAGTATTGGAAAGAAAAACCAAGAAACAGTTTTAGTGATAGGGCAGAGGGGCGTAAGATGTGTGGAAATAATTATCATGATCAGTTGGGGAAAAAACTTATACAGCACGATAGACAATTTTATTGGTTCAATCAGGATTTGTTAAGCGAAGAAGACATGCACTAAGAGTGTGAAACTAACTGTTAAGCTGTTAAAAAGACGAAGAATAGACAAAAGATACTGTATCACAATTAGAAATTACCATATCTTATACATTGATAAACTGGAATACTCGTTTAATGGAACATTTCTTCGACATAGGACTTGTTATTGGTATCATAGATTGTAGTTTTATTATTGAAGAATTTCCTGGTATGATTCCTGAAAACTGCCATATTAAGAAATCATTAATTTCGGAATTATTTGATAATACGAAGGATAAAGGCATTCTAATTTATTTGTTATCTGTCAACAATCTTCTATTTACAGGTAATATGGCTTGGTCCTTCGGGAATGCCGTTAACGATTGGCCGAAATCGAATTACGACGGATAAGAGAATTTCTCTAGAACAACCGTATAGTGTTGATTGGAATTTACATATACGACATGTCAAGCCGAGCGATGCTGGCGAGTATATATGCAAAGTAGATACAAAGCCACCACAAACAAAAAGAGTCAACCTGCAAATAAAGGGTACACAAATTAATATTAATGATTTTTAAAATCGTATTGCCTTATAAAACTTCAGTCAACAAACTTTGATGAAAAATGTTAAATTCTTATTTAAACAGTTAATAATGACTTAGTATGATTTTTTCTCTGTAGCAATGTTTTTAATTTGACACTAAAGATTAGAGGAAATTTGATAATCCTTATTATCTACAGATACATATAATCCTTATTATCTACATATACATATACGTATTGTTAGACAGTCTTATTTTACTGTAGTTAATATGAATATAAGATGATGTGGTATGATTACCAATGAGACAACTACGAATCATACCAAAAACCAAAGAACAAAAACGATGTGAACAACTTGAGGTCACTATACGGCATTCAACAATGAGCACGCCCATATCTAAAAATAAACTATAAAGATACTGCTAGAAGCGTACGAAATGGTCAATACTATCATACACTTTTGTGGTCATGGAATCATTACTTTTTAATCGTATAAGGGATGAGTTGTTCTAGATTTTTTGTATTTCCAACTTTATTCTGACTCATACAAAGAGATACGGTTTAAATTTTTACTAAAAGTGTTGACATAAAGTGCATATGTTCAGACGTTATGTATATGTAGATAATCTGTCAAAAGTCAGCGGATATTGAGAGTAGTTGCAATAATAATAATTGACAATGTCTAGAAGCAAACAATTTACATAAAGTCTTTCATGTAACAACATTCCAGCTAGACGTGTCTGCTATAATACCTAATTAACTTCAACTTTAGATATCACTTTCGTATTTTCAACAGTTTTATATCTAAAAGCCATGTAATTATATTAACTCTAAAGGAATCTGTTATTCCGTTCGATTAGAAAGAGAGAGCTTATTTTGGTCATACAGTGTAAAAATTAACAGTTAAGCCTCAATTTGTATACGGTGTTGCCTTTAATGAAAGCCTTGCATAGTTTCATACATACTTCTCTTCTTGTCAAAGTTTTACAAGTGCTGCCTACGGAAGCATAACAAAATTATGAAGGATCTTATTGATTGTAGCGTGTTTCAAGAGTGACTTTCATGGGAGCAGAAATTGACAGAACGATAGTATATATGTCTGTACATTATTTTACCAAAAAGGAGAAATTTTTATTTTCTTCAAAATTTGTAATATACATGTATGTAATAACTACAACAATCCTTATGCACAAATCCCAAGTAATTGCACACATTAATACGTTGCCTTTTTTTCTGAAAATATGGATGAGTTACTTTTAATTAAACTTTGATTAAACCAAGAGCAAGTAAAGCGGACTTTGAATATTATCAGTATAATCCATGCCGAGTTCATAATAAAAAACTATTGTAAGATTGATTACTTCTAAAGCCTCAACTGATAATGCTGATTTGAAAATCCAAATATTTCTCAATATCAGAGTATCACTGGACTTATTTATGACACAAAATAGATCATATAATGGACAGATATAAAGTGTTGTTTCAGATTACACTTTTCACTTTTTCATTCAGTATGCACATTTTATTGACGAAAAAAATCATTTATCCCTGTACGAAAGTTGATACTTTCTTTCAAAATCATCTGATGATATATGATAAGTTAAACATAAATCCAATTGTTTAAAATTTCGCGTATTGCCATTTACGTACATTTATATTAAACCATAAGGATGGCTTTATAAATTGTCCAGACAATCTTAAAGTATAGTGGCAACTTCATTCACGTTCGACTGGGGACGTGATAAAATTGAGACACATGCGCATGTTAAATAATATTTCAGTAACTCTACATAAAGGGTTTTTCATATACCATTTTAAGGTAACCCTTTTTAACTTGTTAAACATAATTTTATGTTCCTCTTCCAGTTACTAGCATCATTTTCTGCTGATTAACCCTATATGAGTACAGAGTTTGTGGATTGGTACAAAAGTCTGTTGTAGAGAACACTAGTGCATTGTTACATAATAATAATAATAATAATAATTATAATAATAATAGTAATGAGAAATTATTTATTTAAAGAGGGTAACTCAATAAGAACTAGTCTAACTGTCATTGAGGCCCTCAAACACAATACATGTATACAGTTTACATTCATAAATCAAAATACAATGAATGATTGATATATATATATATATATATATGTCTGAAAATCAAACCCAACAGTGTTAGAATTAGATTTTTATGCTGACAAATGTTTGTCCCTCAACGGGATTTGAACTCACACCTTTGATATACTACAGCACCAATCGTTCAGCCTCATGTCCAGCACTCTAGACCACTCTTATATATATATAAAACAATCATTCATTTACTGAATGGCAACAATTAATAATAGAATTTCAAGAAAATGATTGTAACAATGTTTCTTGAATAATTCCACATTGCGACAATTTTTTTTTATTGTGAATGGTAAATCATTCCATACCTTGGTTGCAGAATAATGAAAAGATTTTTTTTTATAAAAATTAGTATTTGGTCTTTGAACAAAAAGATCGTTATTAGAGACAGATCGTAAGTTGTAGTGTTGAACATCATTATTAATTAGCATTGACAAGTTATCAGGTATTAGTCCATTTACAATTTTATACATTAGAATTGATTGTTGTTATTTCACTCTTTCTGTAAACTATTAAGTATGTACAATTGCTGATGGTTTTAAGACCAAAATTGTATTTCTTACCGTTTAAATATAGATTATAAAATGCACAACATATTCAGACTGCATGAAGGCGTTTGTATCTTCCAATTATGCTAAATTTGAATAGTTTAGGTAACCATTTTCATTAAGGATGAATGTGTAGGTTTTAAAATTATCTGCATGAATGATTTCTGCGAATGTTTGACATGTATATTCAAACTGTAGGCGTACAAGAATAGAAAATGTATGCTAATAATTTAAATCTTGCTTCAGGATTATTCAATTTGTCTGTGCATTTCTCTAGGTCACGAGTTGTGTAATCGTACAAAAATTAAGGTTATCACTCTTTCAAGCGAAGATGGCATTGCATGCGTTCTGTTAAGATAATTTTTCTTTGTATTCTCTCTTATAATTTTGGTTTCCTCACTGTTGGTATCGGCGTACTTGGTTAAGGTTATTCCAGAAAAGTGAACAGTGCAATATCACAAACGTTTTCTTTTCTATTTTCCCCCTTTTTTAAACTTAAAGATTTAACAAAAATGTTTCATCTAGATTATTAGAGCAGACATCCAATGTTGAACGACTCGAAAGCTACGACGGATTCATGTTACTTGTATTATTGAAACAAAATGATCGAATTTGGTATTTTAAAATTGACAACAATAACAAAACTTCTCGGAACTCAATGTTCTCGACAGCTGGACCAATGTACGATAAAATCATGTTTGTCGATTTTGCTTGGGTGATCTTTTGATTGCCTATGTGATAATAGAATGCATCTTTTCATCAGCGATCTGATGGCTCAATATTCAAATTGGGCTTTTCATCTTGGTGACACTAATCATTATTCAGGATCGATGTACATAGTAAGAAACGACAGGTCACTCTTCTCAAATGCATAAATGACGGAGATAAATTTACTTTTTGCTTTCGCAATCAATATTTTCTCGTTATTCAGTGATATATTCTTTCAATCCTCAATTTCGAGATCTGTCATATTAAGAACGCTACACGTGTTGAATTCCCATGGGCAGTATATTCGTTTCTGTTTTCTGTAAAAGTGCATCTCTTGAACGACTTTCATGGCAAAGCTCAATGATGCAAATGTTTTTAAATTGCTTATCATGTATTTCTATGCAACTGTAAATGCTATTTAATTTACAATGAAGGGAAGAGCTTGTCACTGATTTCTAATAAACTAATACATACCCAGATAATCCAAGTATAGTTGGGTTTTTTATTGAACAACCAGTGTGTATTGATTCTTTGTTAACCAAAACAATTAAAAGAACGTCCGATTCTTACGTAGATCGATTAGGAAAATTTATTTAATGTTTAAATTTTGCTTAAATAAGAATTTAATCTAACGATGGTGGTGACCACGTTGCGGTTACAACTTGAATCCATAATAAATGTGATCTCCAATTTCTTGTAAGTGGTCGATTCAATATCGTTTCTAAAAGTCACGCATGTATACAATGAGATTTTGGATATACGACAATAAAACAGCAAAACCAAAAGACAATAATGGTTTAATACTCAATAATTATTTTTTTACAAACACACAAACACTTATCACTATGATCAAAAGGTGCATCAAAACTTTCCGAACACTAAGAGAGCCCAGGATACCAATAAAGAAAACGTTTTAAAGTTAAAGTATTACTACACAAAAATTAAAGTATTACTACACAAAAATTAAAGTATTACTACACAAAAAGCCAGTTTGATTAAAACCAAGAAAGTGATATCCAAAATAACGGAACTTGAGTGCGATATGGTTTTAATCAGATTGGACAAAACTCAGTCTTGTTATGGTCAGATGTCAATTTCCCTTGGTGGTCACTGAAGCTCTATTAGAAATAGCTATATCCAGATTGAACGTTTGTAAATAACCGTATAAAAGTCTGTCGCGGCAATATTAGATAATTTAATATCTACTTGTAAATTATTGAATAGAATCGATTGCTTTTGTCAATACCAAGTGGCATATTAGGATTGTAGTAGTAATGGCATGGGTGGTATACACATGCGTATGTCAATGAATAAGCCATTTTTACTCGGATTTGAAATCAACGTCATTTGATTGAAAAAAAATGTATGAAATATCGAAATAAATCTCATTTCATTTTAGACTATATTAGTACGTCAGTTTTGGTAAGTTGTGCAAGAAAAAAACCAAAGTGCACTTATTTGTGTAAGATTTCCGCGACCTACCGAATAAGACATTTCACCGGGTTTGTACTTACATGAGCAACACGACGGGTACCACATGTGGAAGCAGGATCTGCTTACCCGTCTGGAGCACATGAGATTACCCCCGGTATTTGGTGAGGTTCGTGGTGCTCGGTATTTTATTTTTTATGTTGTGCTTTGTAGACTTGTTTATCCTTCGATCGTTTTTATACAACCGCAAACTTTGTATACTAGTAATGGTACGACTTCGCTCGTCGTCGTCGTTCAAGATGGATTTAAACTTTCTCATATATTTCTTCTTACAACGTCAAGTGTATATCCACTCTAATTGAATCAATAAACATCATTACAAAGGTAACGCAGGTTCACAACTATTTTCATTTCGAATATTGCAACGAAGAGAATGATAGATCAATAGAAGCAGTTCTGGGTAAAAGTTGCATATTGATATCAGCATTTATATATTTCAGTTGCACCTACAATTAATCATGCGCTTTCAACAAAGGATCCCCTTTCGGTAGTAGAAGGAGAAAAAGTTACACTTGTCTGCAAAGTATCAGCATTACCCGCCGCAAGTGTGATGTGGTTTTATATTCACCCTAAAAGACCGGATGATAAGGAGCGTAAGTTTAATGTTAATTATACGGCGCATAAGCACAAAGCTGTCCCGTTCCGATTTCAGTGAAAAAGGCACAAAAGCACGAATCTTTCACAATTATTTCCACTATTGGATTTATTTTCAAATTTACTAGAATGCATGCACCAATATCAATACACAATCTGATTGGTCGACGAAACGTCATCAATTCTTTAGTTGTGGCATAGCTCCTTTTCTCTCTCAATCAGACATTACAAGTGCAGATTATAATGGACGACAAACACATGAACATACAAAGAAGAAAGAAAAAGAAAATTTAAAAGTTATAAGGAATAAGATGAGTATCGGTTTGATCAAATAAATTACCTTATACACTCACATTTGCATAAAATTTCCCAAACCATGTCAATGAACATAGTTCAAACAATGGTAAAACAATAAACATAATAATCTTATCAAAATTTAAAAGCTGAAAATTTATGTTACAAAAATATTTCAACGTGTATAAGTGGATCAATATATATGAGCTTATCGCACTATATATTTGCATTAGGCAGTCATACAAGGTTTTGCATATTGAATTAAAATTATGTTTTTTTTTTTTAAATACGTGAATGTGTATTATCCTTAATGCTTAATCATTTAATACTTTCTTTTTCAGAGCCTAATTTTCCAGCCTCTGTTACTGGAGAAACCATAACAATCCACGATATATCCAAAGAGCAAGCTGGTATTTATGAATGCCTTGCATTTAATGGTGTCCCTCCTACATCAACCAAAAACATTACAGTTAATGTTGAATGTAAGTATACTTTCTAGTGTATTTACCTTTTTGGTATTTGATCGTTCAAAAATATAAGAAAAAATAGTGCAACGGTCGATTGCAAGTGCATTTCAGTCTTCTATACAATGAGTCTTTTGTAGACGAAACGTGCGTCTTGAATACACAATTTTAAGTCCGGTATCTATGATGAGTTTATCATTAAGATACGACACATCGTCTGTTTCACTTTCATCGATTTTGAAGCTTTAAACATTCCGAGGTTGATTTTTGGTTTATTTGGATAAAAAACCTTTTCAATTGAATGATAATTTGCTGTCATTATTTTTCCAGGAATATATCGACAAAGGTTTTACTCAAATGCTGTTGTTTGTTTAACGTCAAGGGCAAATGTTTATTATATTTAGAGGATACCAGTTATTGAATCTAGAAGGTGGATAGATCGGTTGGGAAGTGGATAATTTCGACTACAAGTTGAAATAGAGGCCTTATTTAAAAGTAGTCAACTACTACTCCCACTTACAATGTACGAGTTGTTGTTCACACATTCTCCCCAATGAAAGTAAGGGAGCTACCATTTGATTTTTAGATTTTTCAAATTTCATCCTAACCCCCAACACTCCCCCCCCCCCCCCCATAAAAATCAAGTGGTAGCTCCCTAACTCTGTAAATTTCGTGTGTCCGAAGCGCTTTTCTAGATTTGCCTTCATCGGGAACGCTCAAACCTAAACATATAAAGCCAGAGATGTATAAATACCGTTAGAAACTTTATAAGAATAGCAAAATTCACCAAAGGTCACCTTTCCTGAGGGTGTTGAAACATTGGTTTCTTAATACTTTCTTAATTAATTAACTAGAATTTAAAAAAAAAACACACATATATTATAAATTATGTTATTACCGAAACACTGACTACTGACCTGTTGATTACACTTGTACAGAATCAGACTGGGAGTGACTGCGTGTTTAAATCCTAGATAGCCAACGAATGCCCTTCACAGCGGATTTTATTGCAGATACAAGTAGTAAGAACTCTAGTTAATCAAATGTCTGTGAACACTGCTTTCATTCATTTTTTCGTCAGATACTAAAGTTTACATTTATTTTGACTTTATGAATAATTCCGACTGTAGATGCCAGATCTCTTAGCTTGTCCTTCTAAGCATTAAGCTACAAGATATCGTTCAAATCAACAACGCATTAAATTAAAGTAAACCAAATAAAGCAAAATACACACATTGCTGTTCTGTACATTTTATGTCCACAGAACATCAGAATATCCGGCAAGGGTTCGAATTGGTGCGTTAAATGCGTTAAAAAATACATCTATATATATACTAACAAGCATTTCAATAACCGTTTAAATGACACAAATGAATATTTGCAGCATTGTTTTTGTGCAGAAGACAATGACATGTACATCACATGTTCCTCTTTAAAAAATCAAATGGTTGTCAGAAGTATACATATATGGTCACCTTACACTGCCTCGTATAGATTAAGTGACAAGTTCATACCCGTTAAAGAAGCATTGAATCAATTCTTTAAGTCTTTAGGTAGTCTGTTGAAAGTCAAAATTTCTGCTTCTGTTTAGCATTGTCCTAATTGTCCGTCCTTCGTCCCGGATGACTCGTACCGACAGTTCGAATCCAATTCCCTTTTTTAACATCCTTAATCTTTGAGATTAGGACAATATTTTTTGGTAATTACAATCAATCAAACGCAAATTATGAAGCAACATATTGCAAATCTTTTTTTAAAGTTTTCAATACCTACCTCAACGTTATTTATGATTACTTTGAAGATTATGAATCGATCATGGATAATCTAATTTTAAAATCGATTTTGTATTTCTCTTAAAATAACTCTTTCACTCTTTTATATTTTAGTTAAACCGATTGTATCTACAAACTATAAACAAATTCAACAATTAAGGGGTAAAGATACTATTCTGGAATGTCTTATCAGGGCATATCCACCGGAAATAGCAATATGGAAAAGGGGAAATAAGGAGATAGAAGAAGGAGAGCGAGACTGGAAATACTCTCCAACATTATACAAAAGAAGTGAATCAGAATTCGTTTTAAGTTTACAAATATATTCGTTAGAAGCTGATGATTTCGGAAATTATACATGTGAAGCCAGCAATCAACATGGAACATCTTCTGTATCAGTTTTTGTTGAAGGTAAGACTAACAATTAAAAATTTGGAGGCCATGTGGTGGTGGCCATGTGTTCATCATCGACAATCTTCTATCAATTTTGCTTAGGAGAGAACATTTTATACGAATAACGTAGATAGAGAAATTATAAACGTAAATGAGACAGGTCTTCAGTAAAACGATTCAAAGCTTTGTAATACAAATGTATTTGTATTAGTTCGGCAATTCTTTAATATATTCGTGTTCTTCAATTAGGCTTTAATTTAAGTTGTTTATAAAGCATTTATTCCTCTGTTTGTCACTATGGAACCCTTTTATAGTTCAAGATACATACTGATACTATAAACAATGAAATCGCTTATAAATTTTACAGGTATTCGGCGTTTTTGTGTGGGTAAAGAGATTTTTGAATGGATATTGAGTAAATAATAAATATCTGTAATACAGAGAATAGCAGGCGGTTTTTGTTTTACTTATTATCATTGTAACCCTTTCAAGACACACAAGATTTTACATAAGTTTTATCTCTTCTGAAGAATAAAGTGCTTTTGTATTTACCTATGAAAATCATTGCTTTATCTCATTTCATTTTCTTCTTTTAAGAATTGGTAATAAAGCCATCGACAACAACTACCACTACCACTTCTACAACTACGAAAATAGTCACAACATCAACATCCACGATGCCAATTACATCGTCAGTTACAAATAGGACATTATCGTCAATTCGGACAACACCAAATCAAATTAAAACCACAACACAGAAAGGTGTGATTATCGATGATGGGGATTCTTCAAATGGCGATAAGGACCCCGGATATAATGTGCTTACAACGGCTGTTTATCCAATTTCACCTGCTGAACAAGGTAAACGCATTGTTGTTGTTTCAAAACAGTTCGATATCTTGTTTTTTTGTGCGAAAAGTCCATCTTTAAAGTCGTAAATGTTTTGAACTATCATTTATACATTTAATATCAATGCCCTTTTCAAGCAAAGCAGGAGATATAGAATTTAAAAGCAAAGTGTGTCCCTATTTTTTCGGTTAAGGTAGCTGGGGTGTCTAAATGTTCAACAATTGATTTTCTTACACTTCTGTAAAAGACTTCTGGGTGAATTTACTTTCAAATTTCAATATAAAACTGGGGGTCCCGGTCATTGTTTCTTCGTTAAAATACTTTGAAATCAACGAAAATTTTAAATACACTTTAATATTTTGATAGTTTAATCTTCAAATTTCAAGTTTTAGATGACTATGTTGTATATTGTATGATACTTGGTAAAATATTTTTAAACCAAAAAGTATTTTTGCAACATACCCAGAATGGATGCTCAGAAAAAGACACCTGATCTACCTTTAATATGATGTATAATTCCAAGCTTCACTCAAAATACTTTTTTTCAACATATCTTTATATTTTATTATTAATTAACTGATTACTGATACATTGAAAGTGGTAATCTTTTGACGAATTGCATATAGTACTCTTGTCTATTGTTGAAGACCATAGAAAATTATATAGACCTCTAGGTGTCTTTTGATTGTTTTTATCGTTAGGTAACTGTCACGGTGACGTTTACAAACATCTCTTTTTAATGAATAATAGCAGTTATTGAGGCATTCAGTTTGAATAATTGAACATTTATAATGACTATTTATATTGGTGTATCAGCCGTTATGGATTATTGTTCGATCACTAATCTAATGAAACATTTGATGTCCCAGGCATTTTCATTTCATATTTTTTTGTTACATTGACCAATAAGAGATGCACAGGCAAACAAGAAACGTTTTACACTACTTTTAATGTTAGAAAAATTAGGTTAACTGATATTGATTATGAATAAAATGGGTGGCATACGTCAAAACGTCAGTGAGACAGCTACTTTGTAACATGAGTTACTAAACCTAACCTGAGTAAGGCATTCAGCAGAGGACAAGCCACCATGTCGTTCGACAAATTTAAAATAACACCGAATATAAACAAGTTCTGAATAAATTTAACATGACGACCAAATATAGACTTGTAAAAATTTTCAATCATAGCCAAACTCTTAAACAGACTTGCACAGTTACTTTGAATGGGCAAATAAATACGTGGCGGATAAGGAAAAGTTTACGCATCCCTCCCATTTTACCTTGATTGGTTAAAGAGGTTAAAGAATATCTATTTTGTCCTAATTGTAATTCAGAGGTATCATTTCATACTAGTACAAATACAAATACTGTTCTACAAATATAGTCTAGTTATCTCGAGAAATACACGGAATTGGCGTTCTTAATCAGTTGCCATTTCACAAAAAAATGTTTGATTGGATATTTATCGTGATGCATCAGGATAAAATATAGGAACTTTATTGCAGGATTGTTTTTTTTTTTTCGAAAATGAGTTACTGCGCTTTAATGATCAAGTGTTAACTAATTTTACGTCAAGTGTGTAGTCAAGTCACTGTTTCGAATTCTAATGCGTTCTGGGTAAAATTTTATAATCCGATGATACACAAAAACGTTGCGATTCCTTCGAGTCATATTGAATTGCGTATCGTCATTCACGTTCTGGGATACGAACAAAGATATAAACCACAACCCTTAAGATTCGTAAATAGAGAATTGCTGCAGAACTTTCTGTTTTATTGGCTATAATGATGATTTGCACTGTCACCTTATTAGTTCTGACGATCTCGGTTTTTTTTTCGTTTTTTTTAATTTTTTTTTTAATATTTACAGATTGTTAATTAAATATCCGGTATGTTTTTGAAACAATAGATACCAAAGTCAAAGAAGATGTCAAAAACAAATCTTAACACATTGTGTTCTATTTTCAGATCCAAGAAACAGAGGAAACTGTTTAAATTGGAAATTGTCGGGACTTGCAGTTCTAGTTTTATCACTAATTATAATGTGACATGATCTATGATGAATTTTGTCTCTTTTGCGCAAGTGCTACAAACTTTCTAGTCAGTTGATAATGATATTGTACATTTACGAAACAGTGTATGCTTAAGTCTATGTTCTGTATAAGCAAATGTTCTGATGAGTCATAGTGTCAGTATTATGGAGGACACAAGGTGTTCTTTTAATTTATTATCTTTTTTCATTCTAACGTTCTGTGTACATGTAAATAAAGAAAAGATCTGAAAATTATAATTTGTTTACTGAAGTGTAGATGTTTTTTGTTCAAAGAGAGAATTTTTCTGTCGAAATCCACGTAAAACAGTAAATCTATATTTATTTGTAAGCGTAGGCTTTATTTGTCATGTTACTTAAAGGTATTTTGTCAAAACTGAGACTTATTTTAACCTAAAATAAATGTTGTTTTGACAATGAGTGTAAGATAGTAGTCGACGATTTTTGTAGGACTTCTTTGAGAAATGGAAAATAAAAGTCAATTTATTAGTCTATATGATAACTTAATTATATATAAATGACTAAACTACATGTAGGTGGAAAAATGACCCTTGAAGCAGTACATTTAACATGATAACGCTTCCTATTTTAGAGTTCGAAACCGGACTTAATGTTAGATATGAAATGATTTACATATAAAAGGTGAATAGATCAAACCATAAATGAAAGTATGTAACATTTAACAGATATACTCGGGGTTCTATGTACTTAACAGAGAGGACATAAACAATACTCGTTTATTTTATTTGTAATTTATATTTTTGTAAATTGTATGAATAAATTTGCTTATATTGTTTTAAATACATATTAGTAAATTGTTCTATATCATTTATCACAAATAAATACACTTCCATAAATCCATGTCAAACTTCCTGTAAATTTGAATAACTATCTCGACGATAAGATATATGGGTAAACGGAAAAAAAGTCACAGTCATTTTTTTTATTATTATCTATTTATTTATTCAATTGCAATAAACACAAAAAAAACAATAAGTGTTTAAAACATTCTCTTTATTTATGAAATTCCCTTATCTGGTCTCCAATGGACTGATTTATTTCAGTGTCCTGATTATCTATGGCATACAAAAATGATACAAGATGATTGTACAAGCTAATAAACAATGTGCTATAATATATATGTTTTCTTTTGTGCCAAATAATGGTAATAATCAAACGTTGTATGTTTATATGTAAAGATGTGAATGTGTATGATGTAAATATATGTTTTTACTGTATGTAAATGTTACATGAATAAACTGTCGCCAAGTATACTGTTTTTTTTTTCCTTTTTGAAAAAATTACTTTCAGTATATCAATCAGAAGAATTCAGAACAATGTAAAGTTTTATGTGAAAATATCGATTTTATAGCTGTTTGATTTGAAGTCTCTGAATTATATTCAATTGACAACTAAAGTTGTATTACTTTTAAAAAATTATCTGCTCGGGGGTTGCTTAGATGACTATGTAACTAAGGGACAGAGTATAGGTTTTAACTGGGTTTTTCAATGTAAAACAAACTGGTTATTAATTTTGGGTAGTGCGGTGGATGGGTGGATGGGTGGACGGATCTTCGGCTCCAGCTGTTTCCGCGTAATTCAACCAATGATTTCCAAATTTTAGTGTGTGATGACAAAATTGAGATCAAGTTCGAAAGTGACGATTTTTACACTTTTGCCGTTCTAGATTAGTGATATATGGTTCAACTTTGTTTGGAAATGACACTCAGTTATATCGTTTCTGTGCAATAACGTGAGAACCGCAGGGGCGGATCCAGGATTTTGGAAAGGGGGGGCGTAGTATTAAAGGTCGCCGAGCGGAGCGAGGCGAAAATTTTTTTTGGACCTTTTTTGGCTAAAAAACATAAATTAAGTGTAAAATGCATTTTATAGTTAAAGTGTAGGGGTTGGACATTTTTGGTGCCGTATTCTCTCTATTAATTGTCTATTATAAAATGATTGGATGGATCCAAAGCTATGTACTAATTAATATATTTGATGTGGGATTTGTCAGTAAAAAATGGACATGGAAAATTCTCGTTTGTTGTATGGTTAGTTAGCATAACCTCACAGATTTCTTGTTGTAAACAAGATATACGGCTATTCAATAAAATTTACAATACGACCCACACGAAGAAAGACAAACAAGCAATTTTTATCCAAATATTTGGTTGAAATGTTTCAACCAACAAGGGAAGTGAGGGGTTCCAAATCAACCAAATGCTACGAATGAGTCGGAAATGACAATGAAGTTGTGAATGACGGTCGACACATGGAGACTTAAAGGCCACACTCAGCAGGCAGGTTGCAGTTGGGCCTTGAAAAAAGTATTCAATATATCAGTTCGGCAAAAAGACACTCCGGTCAGATATGGGATTCACATGCAACACCCCCCCCCCCCCCCCCCCCCCCCCAAAAAAAAGAAAATTACGCCCGTTTCAGTTTATTCATCATGTTCATTTAATGCTAAATAATTTTGTTGAAAATATTTTTTTCTAATAGCAAAAAAGTGGACAAGATTATTGTTTTCAATCCAGATACGGTTTAAGGCATAAATCAGGGTCAGAATTTTTTCTCTAAAATATCTCAGATTGCCCCCTCAAATCGAATGGCCCGTACCTTAGACTTTAAATCTATATCTAGAGCTTACTGACTGGGGATCGCTATTCAGCAATGTTATTAATGGGTTGGGGCGTGTTGGGTTAAACATGTTTTCGTAGGTTAATTATATTGCTGTGGAACTTTTTTTTTCATGAGAGTGTAATAGAGTATTACTTTCTGTTGGGTGGAATTGTGAAATAGAAGTCAATACGTTATTGCTCAATACTTTGTCGCTTTGAAGGCGTCATGCTTGTCACCCTCAGCCTAAGCAATGTGTTACTGTAATTTATATTTCAAAATGACTGAGACAGAGTGACGTTTTTTTCGACGTGCTGGTCAACTCCACCGTAGCGAATCACATAACTTTGACATAATCAATAATATATTACAGTAAATACGAGCGAAAAATATATTTATAAGTAAAGAATTGTCGCATAAAAATTAAATACACGGGAAATGGCAAAGTTCGCGAAGTCTAGTCTGATTAATCATTTTACAAAAAAAAAAAAAAAAAAGTGCAAGCAAAGGGGGGGCGTACGCCCCCTACGCCCCCCTCTGGATCCGCCACTGGAACCGTTTCACCAGTGCTTTCTAGATTTGAATATGTTGTTACTGATAACAAAATAGAGGTCAAGTTCGATACAGACGATTTTCACGTTTGCATTTTCGGAGTTATGGTCCTTCGTTGATTGCAAAGATGAACTTTGAGACGATTCCTTGCAGTAACTCGAGAACGTTTTCATCTATAGATACGCGATTCCAGTGTTTCTCGTGACAATATGAAGGTCAAGATAGGTTTTGACGTTTGCTGTTATGAAGTAATGACCCTTGCATTGATTACTATCATTTTACAGCTTTTTGTTGAGAAACGTTTGATTATGTATAATTGTTTTGTATTATAAATAAAAAGGATTTGATTACTATCATTTTACAGCTTTTCGTTGAGAAATGTTTGAATATGTATAATTGTTTTGTATAATACATAAAAAAAATAACAGGAATTGACTAAAATATTGGACAGCACTACCACCCGACTCCTCCGACAAAAACAGACGAATAAACAAGGAAAACAACAACAGCACATGGTTCAGATAGCACAATATTGACAATGCAACACAAATCGGCCGTAAAATTGTAATCTTTATTCACATTTTACTTCTATTTTAGTAAAAATTCCTTCGCCACACCTTATCGCAAGACCAAGACTGCCATATTGTTTGTGATTTGTCTATGTGATATGACAGGGAAATTAAAAATTTTTGTGATATAAAATTCAAATTATTATGCCAAGCTTTTGTTAAACTTATAGAAATTATAAAAAATTTACTTTTTTATTCTGTGTAGAAACTAAAGTTGATGTTGTTGGTCTACAAGTATTTATGTTTCTAAAACTATTAGAAATCGAAAATTTAACCAAAAGGACATTATGTGGTATAGCCATGATTGTTGCGAAAATTATGTATATGCATGTTTTGCTGTTGAAATGAGGACATTTAATCCAAAATATTGTGTAGGTAAAGTGTCACTCCCACTGCGCGTTAAAGAATTCTTGTATTACTTTTTGAGGGTACCGTAGATGGTTTGTTTAAGAATACCTGTTTCCCCTTTATCGTACTCCCTATATTCCAGTGGCAGTTCAAATGAACCACCTTACGACCTTCATCCTGGTCTACATGCTTTTCAGAACCTACCTATCTGATGCATAATTTTTAATTTGTTTTCGTCCTGAATATGCATGTAAGATTTGTCACAGAACATTAAGCAATCAACCATTGACGTATACTTGAATCTGTTTTTATTCATGTAAAGATGGACTGTGACATTTAATATCCTTGAATATCCGTTAACTTTAATTTTCTGAATATATATCGTCTGCATATAAAAGAATACATGTGGGTCACACACAAAAATAGAGACACCCATATACCCCACCACCCCACCTTGCGTACATATCAACTCAATGAGTGAAAATTTTTTTTTTTTTTTTTTTCTAAAACAACCTAAGTATATAGTCATGGTCATCTTTGATTTCGGTCTGGGTGACTGAATTTAAAGTCAACAGAAAATAATGAGGATAATTCTTTTTCAAATCGCATTCAAACTGGCCAGATCATTTTGTTATCATTCTATATCGGAAAAGGGAAGGAAAAGAAAATTCTTGCTTAACCGTAAATGATCTTCCATGTTTGTACTTATTGGGTATAGTTGCATATTAAATCAATGTTTGTACGATCCTAAAAAGAAACAAAAAACAGAGGAGAAAAAACAGATTAATCCATGAACTGGTTGGTCACATCCTTCGCGTGCGGTTTAGCCTCTTATTAAATTTTTATATGTATAATATATTAATCAGAGATAAATAAAATGTGAAAAGAATAATTACAACGTTTATTCACAGACGAAGAGAAATGTCAGTAGATCGTCGCTGTAATAGTTGCAGACGAATTATCAACAATAAAACTGTCTGTTGTGTTTCTACGTCATGATAACATGATATGTGCTGCACCGCTAGAGCATGTTAGAAATGGATTAGATCACGAACTGATTTAAACATACTTTTATTTAATATTTCAATGAAAAAAATGAATGTTTTTGTAGACGTTTTGTTTCTCGTTGCTTTACATCAAGCAAGTGCACACCAATATGTTAAAATTCTGACTGTCACACCCGGACTGTCAACTGTTTTGACATGTCATGTCAGGAGTACAGATGACATTAAAGAGGTTAGTATTTTTCTTAGCATAAATATAACATATATCATATATATTTACGTGTGTAAAAAACTATCACATATATATATACGAGGAAATGTAAGTTTACATTAAGACAGGATTTATAAATTGTGATGATAAAAAGTAAGCATTCCAGATTAGAGAAAGGGTTCAGCGCTCACAGACGTATTTAACCCGTCAAATATTTTCAATATCAGCAGCTTTATGAATAGCAGTTGTTTCATTTTCAGTTTATTTTATTGACCGAATTTCGGTATTTAATTTGATTAAAGGAATCTTGTACGGCGACAAAGAGTGGCTTTATGGATCTTGTCACATGGACTTCTCCCATACAGATTTGAGACCCGTGCTGATTGCTGTCTTTTAAGCTGTGTGGGATGTATAATAAATACACGGTAATTCATAGGAATAGCAATATTTAATGCAATACTTTACCTTTTGTACATAAGAGATACACCTTGTACTGTCTACATATTCTAAGGGTGATCCGTTGCAAGGCAACATTTTCTGACCCACCCAACTTGTCATCTATTTCCACTGCCAGTTTTATTTTTTACCACCTATTTCATATCTATCAATCAACTTTTAAACTGTTCCCTGACTGGTATTTTTTTCAGTTTTACACCAGAAACTCCACACAAAAATTTCGGACAAAAGGGATGATTTTCTTTCTCTATTGTTAATTTTCCTTTTTTGGATGGTGATGTCCCTCTGGCACCAACTTACGGTGTTTATATATCCCAACTCATTTGTTAAGCCCGTGTCTTTAGTGACGTTTAAGATTTCAATGAGCGCAATCTATGTAATACTGGTAAATTATTAAGTCAGGGATTTCGTTTCCACAAATTACTTAAAACCTAAACTTTTACTAAATTCTTCCATAGATACAAAGATTTGGTTTGCAAGTTTTGCTGTACCTGTAAAAAAACTTATTTCAGACACATATGTACTTTAACAGTACTACAACTACAATTTATAGATACCTTTATTTTGGCATTGCACAAGGTCATGTTTTACTCTGACTGTTAATGACGTCTTTACACTAAATCCATTGGATGTTGGATGTGTACTGATTGATATTTTAGTCTTAGATACATTATTTTTTTATTAGTTGTTATTGGCTTTGAACTAGCTGTCAGTAACTGCGAGTACTCTCAGATTTGTACTTAGTGTCCTTTTTGTTGTTACGACGAGGGTTTTTTTAACGACCTTGGCTACCCATAAGGGTCTTGCACGGTCGGTATTTTTGTTGTTAGGGATGAGGGATGGATAAATACCCTGCCACGTCCGGTCTGTGTTTATGTTTGATGTTTTTTTTTCTGCTTTATATCGATCTGATGAGTTAAGCCTTTTTTCAACTGATCTTTATAGATTTTTCTTATGTTGTGCTGTTACACCACTGTCCCAGGTTAGGGAGAGGGTTGATCACTAACAAACATGTTTAATCTCGCCACATTCTTTATTTGCCTGTCCCAAGTCATGAGCCTGTAGTTCAGTGGTTGTCGTTGGTTCATATTTGTTTTTCGTAAATTGTTTTGTTATGAATTAGGCCGTTAGTTTTCTCAATTGAATTCTTTTATATTTTTCATGTCGGGGCCTTTTATTACCGACTATACGGTATGGGTTTTTCTCATTGTTAAAGGCCGTATACGGTTGCCTATAATTGCTTACATCCACTTTATTTGAACTTTGGTGGATAGTTGTTTCATTGGCAATCATACCTCATCTCCTTATTTTTATATTAGAACAATCAACTCTTTTTGCCATCGATCTGATCAGTTTACACACATACAATGTTGAATTGTTATCAGAAATTGTCTAAATTTCGAGTATTTGTAAAAATATGCAAATGATATGCAAATGAGCTGTACCCTGATGCTGATGCATACTGATTGCATTAAATCTAAGATAGCCAAGGGTTAATATCCCTGAGGTTAGAAACAATTTTTTTCAGTTTTCTCTCCAATTTTGATGTTTTTTTTCGTCTTATTTGGGGCCTACAGAGGTTATCAAGGCTTTGGGATACGCTGGTTTGTTCAAAAACGCAACTCTCAACAAGAAACCAAATGACACAGAAATTAACAATTATAGGTCACCGTACGGCCTTCAACAATGATCACAGCCCATACCGCATAGTCAGCTATAAAAGGCCCCGAAATGACAAATGTAATACAATTCAAACTAGAAAATCTAGCGGCCTATTCTATGTACAAAAATAAACGAAAAACAAATATGTAATTAAAGACTTGGGACAGACACATACATTAAGAATGTGGCGGGGTTAAACATGTTAGCGGGATCCCAAACCTCCCTCTAAGTTTGTAGGAATAGTTGTCCTGGGGAACAGTGGTTAAAAGAACTTGGGGTACAAAGTTTTAATAGGGCTTCAATGGGGAGGACGCTTGAAGAATCTCATTAAGAACCAACAATAGCAATACAGTTATAATTTGCTTCAAGCCTCAGTAGTTCATTAAGATTCAAGTGTGTACAAATGAAGGTACAGAGATCCGTGGGTCTGAGCACTATGAGTCCAAAGTTTAACATAGTCTTTATTGGGAAAAGCTTAAAATTCATCTTATTCAGAACCTGCAATGCCAAACATAATTAGAGGATCCAGGGAGCTTGAATTGCTCCTTTATTCAACTGGGTCTCATTTGACTTGATTATAAATAAAGTTCTAGTATGTGCAAGTCTGAGGTGCTAGTGAATAACTTTAATTAAGCTTGATTGCATAAAGTGTTCAATATTCTAAAAAAAAAAAAGATGAATTTGTTTACGATACAAACTTTGCCTTTACTGGCGACCATTTTGAAATTCCTATCGCTTCAAAAAGTGAAAAGTTAAACTATAAGGTTGTCGTTATTATCAGATAGCGGTCAGGAGTCTGTAATTCAGTGGTTGTCATTTGTTGCTGTGTTACATATTCGTGTTTCGGTCTTTGTTTGTACATTATTAAAACCGTTATTTTCACTCGTTTGAATTAAATTGTTAAACAGCTGTCATTTCGGGGACTCTCCCTCTGGTATCTTTCGTCCCTCTTTCATAGCTGACTATGCGGGGGCTTTTCTCATTATTGAGGGCATTATGATGACCTATAGTTGCTTATTTCTGTGTCATTTAGTCTCTTGGCAATCATAATACATATTCTTTTATATATATAGCGATGTCGTTTTTACGACATAGCTATGTCGTAATTACGACATAGCTATAGTGATGTCGTAATTACGACTTGTTATGTCGAAATTACGACATAGCGATGTCGTTATAACGACATGTTATGTCGAAATTACGACATAGCGATGTCGTTTAAACGACATGTTATGTCGTTATAACGACATGTTATGTCGAAATTACGACATAGTGATGTCGTTATTACGACATAAAAATTTTTTTTTGAATGGCCCTTATCGGCTTCCGTAATTATGCCCTTGTATTTTACAGTTCGGATTTTTTGTACATAAACCAATTCGACGCTGTTATTAGATCATTGAATATTGTTTTTCTTGGTATAAATATTGATTTTGTTATCAGTAAATTTAAACCAATCTAAATATCATTATTATATACATATGTATATTCACAGTTCTTCAATCTGTCGATACCTGTAATTTGGCATTGCACAAGGTCATGTTTTTCTCTGACTGTTATCCCATGTGATGTTGGATGGTACTGATTGCTTTTTTGTCTAAGATGCATGCTTTTTGGTTAGTTGTTATTGGCTTTGAACTAGCTGTCAAAAGCTGCGAGTACTCTCATATCTGTATTTTTGTTGTGGGGATATCTAAATACCCTGCATGCCACGTCCGATCTGTGTTTTTGTTACTTGTTTTTCTTCTTTGTATTGATCTTATGAGTTAAGCCCTTTTCAACAGATTTTCATATTTTTTTTTCTTCATATGATTTGCTGTTACACAATTGTCCCAGTTTAGGAGACGGTGAGACATGTTTAACCCCGCCACATCCTATATTTGCCAGTCCCAAGTCAGGAACCTGTAATTCAGTGGTTGTCGTTTGTTGCTGTATATCGATCATTGTTTTGTACAGAAATCAGGCCGTTAGTTTTTATCGTGTGAATTGTTTTACATTTGTCCTTTCGGAGCCTTTTATACTTGAATATGCGATATGGGTGTTGATCATTGTTGAAGGCCGTACGGTGAACTATAGTTGTTAACTTCTATGTCATTTGGTCTTTGGTGGAGTGATGTCTCGTTGACAATTATACCACATCTTCTTATTTATATATATATGCAGGCTACTTGAACTACTTCTGAAGGATATAAATATTTATGATACATCCTGCTGTAAGGTTCTACTTTCTTCAAATATTGTATGATTTTTATTAGCTTATGATTTTTTCGTTTAAAATTAACACCAGGTTATATGGGTCGGACCTTCAGGAAATCCGCTTACCATTGGAAAACGCAATGTAACAACAGATTCACGAATTTATGTAAAACAACCTTATGCAAATGTATGGAAACTACACATAACCAGAGTTAAACTGAGTGACGCCGGGGATTATACCTGCAAAGTAGAAACAACACCACCTCAAATTTCAAAAGTAAAGTTAGTTGTTAAAGGTAAGGTTGAGATTAATATCCTACAAATCAATATATATATATTTAACCATTATCAAGACCATTTTATACAATTTACATCCTTTTAAAATTTAGGGAACATCTACATACTAGCATGATAAAAGAGAAAAAATCCCCCATAAAACAGAAGATATAATAGAAAAATCAAAGGAAATGTCTAATTGATGTTCTTTATCTATAAAATAGTCAGCTTCTTCGTTTTTAAGCATGAGTTTTTTTGGGGGGACAAAGACTAAAATTCGGGAAGTTAATTCTCTGTTGATAAGATAAATCCATTTACATTTCCTTTCGTTTTCCTTATTCGTTCAGTTAGTCTCTCAGTTTGTCTCTTGTAATTATACATGTATTTTAATTATTACAATAGTCATGTTTTCTTTTTCTATATGTCGAATAAATTTCAGTGTTAACAAATTTAAGTTAACGGAACAAATTATAAACGAATTTGCTAATTTTTTTTAGAAAGGCGTCAAGAAAAATAAGCATTTCTAAAAAGTATCTTTGCAGATGACCTGGTAAGAATCCATAGTTGTAAGTCCAAAAGTGTTTTAAAGGACATACCCAACGTTATGAAGTATTATTAGTTACATAGTGTGCTAGTGACCTAATAAGAATAAGAATAAGAATATTTATTATTCCAATCAAGGGCCCTTGATGGGCAGCATGACATGTACACATAGCGAATCCCCATATGGAATTTACTAACCCCATATATATCATATTAGGTCACTAGCACACTATGTAACGAATTTATCTTACCGACTATCTTAACATGTGGTATTTAGACTAGTGTCCTATCAAAGTGATCAAGTCTTCAATGCCCGTTAGTATTAAGAACCTACTTCCATTGGTCTATACAAAAAACAAATGCCAACAATAACAACTTGTTAGCTTTAAATGTGTTTATGAATTTATTTCAATCGTTCATCGTCAATTTCTTCGTCTGTTGAAACTTAAAAGATTTTTCCTCAACACCGTGTTGTTTTTATAAGGGGACCTAACACCACTACTAGCCGTGTATTGAAATACGCTCCGCCTACTAACCCAATATGGAACCCTACTAACCTAATATGGAATATACACGGTCTCCACGCGGTTGCGCTTGACCAATCATATTCCTTTAAATGTATAGGAGGTAAGATAACATTAGTTACATGGTGTGCTAGTGACCTAACACGATATATATGGGGTCAGTAAATTCCATATGGGGTGAGAGCATATGGAATTTACTGACACCATATATATCGTATTAGGTCACTAGCACACTGTGTAACAAAAACAAATGCCAAAAATAACAAGTTGTTAGCTTTAAATGTGTTTTATGAATTTATTTCAGTCGTTCATCACCGATTTCTTCGTCTGTTGAAACCTTTCAGATTTTTCCTCAACACCCAGTTGTTTTTATAAAAGGACGTAACACCACTACTAACCGTGTATTGAAATAAGCCCCGCCTACTAACCCCATATGAATTATACACGGTCTACACGCATTTGCTTTTAACAAATCATATTCCTAGAAATGTATAGGAGTAAGATAAAATGCAATATCTCCCAACTTTAAGCATGAGTTGGTTTGCCTAGTATCGTGTGTATTAATGATATAATCATGATTATCTGTTTACTTTTGGTCACAAAAACTGACATTTTCAAGGAATGATATCCATATATATATATTGATTTTTGTCGAGCCTAGGTTGTCGGGTGGTCTAGCGCGTCGGGCATAGTGCAAGGCGATTTGGTGCCACGATATCTCAGTAGCATGAGTTCGAATCCCGGCCAGGGAAGAACAAAAAATTTGCTTCCGCAAATTTACAGATCTAACATTGTTGGGCTGTTATTTAGACGAATTATGTATACAGAATGTGTTTTCAGCCTTGTATCACCATCACTGGTGATCCGATGGATAAAATCTGTCGTAGAGTTGTCACTGGTTCAGACGTACTTATAATATAATTATTTCTGCGACTGAATCCTACGTTAATTTGTAAGATCCTCTACGACAGATAGTTCAGCTGATCTGTAATATTCCATCTTCATGCCTTATATATCATGTACTGTGTTACGACGCTAGATAAAAACTGACGAGGAAAGGTAACAACCGGCCACCGAGAGCTTGATTTCTTTGTTTAGCGCGTTTGGCATAGTGCAAGGCGATTTGGTGCCTCGATATCTCAGTAGCATGAGTTCGAATCCCGGCCAGGGAAGAACAAAAAATTTGCTTCCGCAAATTTACAGATCCAACATTATTGGGCTGTTATTTAGACTAATTATTAAGATCCATTTTGTTACATCTGGTGATCCGTTTATTTAGCAATCGCCATGGCAGTCTGCGGGGTTTTAGAACATCCGCCGGGATTCGAACTCATGCTATTGTTGTGCTGATATTTAGAGTAATTATGAATATAATATGTGTTTTCAGCCGTGTATCACCTTCACTGGTGATCCAATGGATGGATCTGTCGTTGTCACTTGTTTAGACGTCCTTATATATAACACATATATCTAAGACGAATATAATTGTATGATTTTGTAATTTTATATTTTTCTATGTGTTTTTCCTTCATGTTTGCTGTTAGCTATTCAGTGATCCATATGACCTTAAAGTGCTTTTGTTTTTTGTTTTTTGTTTTTTGTTTTGTTTATTTGTTTCTTTTTGATTTTTTAGGGGGAATAGGGTGGTCACTTTGTCGTGTAATCTGCAGATTCTGTGATTTAGTTGTATAGTCAGACATCAATTACCTTTCTTGACAAAAAACCAAATCGAAGTGATTTGAAATGTATTATTTATTCGATAATTATTTTCCTTCATGCCAGCAATCATTAAACAGACAAATTTTTATGACTAATTTTGATTCATTTTACTTTCTTTTCATATATTTTTTTTACCAACAACAATTGTGACATGAACAATAGAAACACTATCAACATCGACGATTTCTCCAACAAAAGCAGGTAACTATAGTAATTGTATATGTCATTTTACAAAAATGCAACACTAGTCGAAACTTTTTGAAATAAATTTTTAAAAAAATGGAGAATGTGTACATGGGACACAGATGATGCCCCCACTTTCATATAACGTTATAAAGGGACATAACTAGAGAACTTTAAAAGTGACGCCACCCAAATTCGAACTCGGTCTGTGTTTAGGGTGCTATCAACAGTTTTTTTCTATGACGTCATATTTTAAGGGACCATGCCTAAGTGACCCTTAGTGGTGGAATGGTTAATAAAGATACTTGTATAAAACTAGATATCACTGGAATCAGAATTTTCTCTAGTTTGTATTGAAATAAAAATATAGTGTACTTTTAGTATAGTAAAAAAGTTCTATCCAGAGAAAATGGGGAAAAAGTTGCCAAATCTGAACATAAAAAACCTGAAATCAGCTCATGTGCATACCCATGTAAACATGATACAGGCACATTTCTCATAATCAAAACTGTATGAAATTCATAGGTTTTTACCTGGCCTTTAATAAAAATCATGTTTCATGGTACGGTTTCCTGCTTCGAAAAGAGCTACAGTGGCTGCAAATAAGTTTTCAATTTTCACTGCCAAACAAACAGGATGTTTACAGTGTTGTCTCCCCTCAAAACATGTATATTTAATATAATTTTTAAAATTATTTTAATCATTCAACCTGTTTAAATTGAAAGCTAATTAACTAATTTATACAATCAAATACAAAAAACATGATACCTTTTCACCAATTATATGAATAAAAAGGGATTTCCCTCCATGGTTATTTTTAGTCGGGGAATAACTCTTAGTTTTTATACGAAACTGTTTATAGCACCCTTATGGTAAAAACACATTGTGTATAAGTTTCATAACATTTGGTTGAGGAAAACTAAAGTTAAAGAACAGAAACGAAAAATTCAGCAATTATTCCATTTATAAAGGGCATAACACTTAAATTGTTAAAGTAATGCTACATTCGAACTTGATCTGTGGTAATAAGTATTGTGTGCAAGCCTCATAACATTTGGTTAAGGCAAACTAAAGTAAGAGAACGGAAACTAATTTTGGGACTTACTTACAGACGGACAAGGGCCATAAAATTGAAGTTCCGGCCAAACATAGAAAAATTGCTACAATAATTTCATAATACAAGGTCCACAACTCTATTACATGTGTACAATCTTTCTGTAAACTTTAGAAATCTGCGATGAAAACTGTGAAGGGTAGAGGCGGAAGATACAAAAGGATAGTCAAACTCATAAGTCGAATACGAACTGATAATGCCATAGCAAAAAAAAACGAAAAAAGATCAAAAGACAACAGCCTACAAAGACAACATAGAAAACTAAAGATTGAGCAACATGAATCCAACCAAAAACTGGGAGTGATCTCAGATGCTCCGAAAGGATACGTATATTCTGCACCAAATGTGGCACCCGTCATGATGGTCATGCATATTTCTCTTGTAAGTACAAACCCGGTGATAAGTCTAATTTGGTATGTAACATTCGATGAAAAGATAACTTGTGACGGGATTGTGGTTACGACAGTCAGAACATATTCGTCACCAACTGCGAAATAGATATTCCATAACTGTCAACCAACTCGTGATGGCGTCCTTAATGAGTTGATTACACAAAATTATTACCACCTTTTAAAAATGTTTACGGAAATTGTTATGCTTGAAAAAAATTGGGGGGAAATCCTCAAATATTACAAGGAACTGCGTTAAGAACTTTAGAAATTGATAACTTAAAATATGAACCTAATTTTCCCAGTCCGCCCAACCGAACAACATCACCATAGTGTTAGACGATTCTAAATTCGTGCCTTCTGGATAAGAGACAATTATCTATTTATCACCAAAAGACCCAGACAGTATGTATACTTTTGGCCGTGAGTGTTTCTGTTGGAGGTAAATTCACATCAAACTCAACCAGTTGGATTAAGAGACTTACTCGTACTACATCTAAAGATCTCTCTTAAGCTTCTGAAGTTTACGGTCGCCATTATGACTTTGTAAGTTGGTTGACAGTATAAAAGATGAAGTCGTAATCTTGCACACTTTTTCTCATTCATCACCTTAAACCATTGATTACAGATTGTTTTTTTTATCATGAGCCGAAAGATTGGTTGTACTAATAAGGAAGGGACTAATAACCTTTCAAAAGCTCCTTAGTTCATCCCGGTTTATGGTCGATGGTATTGAGCGAAATAAAACAAATGTGCAAACCTGAAATTATCAAACTTTGAATAGTAGTATTCCCGAAAATAATGCAGAAGACATATCAATTAATTGCGAGACAAGCTGAATAAAACCTATGCAAAATCACAACTGTATTCAAAGCAACACGAGGGGAAAAGTGCGATATTGTTTTTAATTTGACCGTATGTAGGACCTTGACACACATGACACAGGTGAAAAGCGTAAAATGAGCAATTCCATTTTTCCAGAAAACTGTTGATACAAAAAGTTTCCCAGCTTTATAAACTTTACAAGAAAGAATAATGAAACAGACAAAAATAAAATTTCTTGTTGAGTTTGTCAAGGAAAGGACTATATTATCTGCCAAACAGTCAAAAGTAACCTGTCTGTCAGAAGTAATTTGTTATGTTTTATTTTTTTTTAATATGCTGCATAGAACGCGCTGTTATAGGATGGCCATTGTTATATTATAGTTCGTTTCTGTGTGTGTTACATTTTAATGTTGTGTTTTTGTTGTGTCGTTGTTCTCCTCTTATATTTGATGCGTTTCCCTCAGTTTGAATTTGTAACCCGGATTTGTTTTTATCTATTTCGATTTATGAGTTTTCGAACAGCGGTATACTACTGTTGCCTTTATTTATATACTTCTTCGGGTCGGTTCTATATGTCAAAATTATATGCAACTGTTTGTAAAAACTGTATGTAAGTGACACAATTAGTGTAAAATATTTATGTTCAGTGTAATATATAATATTTGCCGTGTTTTTTTAAGCATAACAGAGTTGTTCCTCTTTGCTCAATAAATATTTCTTCATTTTGTTTGCGGTTTATTTGATAGAATTTCTATTATTTCCTCTTTTCAGATCCAACTGGTATGGCACCGAGTTTACGAATGAAGTATTTCGAAGTTTTTTGTGCCGTTTTATCAATATCATTTCTAGTTGTTTAATAATTGTGATGAACGTGCAAATACAACAATTACATGTTTTTCTGTGTTTTCGTTTTGAATTAACATGCAGTGCACACATTCTCCAATGTATTTTATCCTTTTGCAAGCAAATTTATTAAAAATATCTAGTACTACAAGTATAAATATGAACATATTCTTTAGCATGTCCTTTTGTTTTTGGTAGGTACCAGTCTCATTGAAAATCATATCAAATCTTTATAGTGAATAAAAGTGGACCTACAGGGATCACTACTGTCGTCTTGTGTCATTGTCTTCAACTTCGTCGAGTCTGCGTTTATCGCGTCACAATTTATGTTAAAAAAGTAGTTGCATACGGCTGTTGGTCAATAGGCAAAATTCAAATTCTGTATAAAATCAGCAATTCTGTAGTATTACAGGGTTCTGCTGTAAATATATGGGAATCACCATTGTTGTCTTGCTTTATGTCAGCGTCATCCGCTTTGTCCAAGTTTGTGTTGGTCACATCACACTTTATGTTAAACAAAATCCACAACTAGTTGAAAACTGCTTTTCAGAAGTAGTTGTGCACCTTTTGTTTTACTTTTGATCTGAATGATATTTTTGGCTTCCCAAATCAAAACAAAAACTTCGGAATTATTGCTCATATATTAGTTGGAGATGACAGGCGACACGTGCTGATATTTTGTTGTTACGCGGGCAAAAGAGAGGCAGAAGATACCAAAAGGATATTCGAACTTCAAAGTCGAAGACAAGCTGACAGGGCCATGGCAAATGACGAAAAATGACGACAAGGCTAACACAAGAGAGGCGGAAGATACCAAAAGGATATTCGAACTTCAAAGTCGAAGACAAACTGACAGGGCCATGGCAAATGACGAAAAATGACGAGAAGGCAAACACAGAGCAGATCCTGCTCCACATGTGGCACCCGTCGTGTTGCTCATGTAAGTAAAAACTCGGTGATAAGTCTGATTCGGTTAATATCCTTGAGATGTATACTGCCTCTCTTTTAATGCATACGATTTCAGAAAATTTTCGTACCATAGATAAGCATAACACACACAACAAACAACAAAGTGAGAGAAAAAAGAAGACCAAGGAATCACAACCCGTCATAAAAGAATATAATGTTGATTCGGTGATAGTTGACCCATAGGTATACATGTATACTATCTTAATTTTCTCTTTATCAATACAACAATGGTGAAATACAATAATTATGACAAAATTATGCAAATATATTAGAGAACAAACGATTGAAATGAAAAACTCTTCAAAACCTATTGTTTCGTATCTGTTCAAATGTACCCTAACAGTTGTACAAACAGATATCTCATTTTCAGACCTTCAAGATACACGCTAATACACGATTCAGACTGTAGTAGACACGACGGGTATTTCTCAAACACCCAGTCCTTCATCGGTCACACTCTGAAACAAAATTAGAGAAAACAAACAAATATGGACGCGATGCTGTATTAAGCATGCCCCTACTCGTAATTCAAAGCATTAGATAACTGGAAGAAGTTGTCTGACAGATAAAATGCTCACATATTAAAACTCCTCATTGATAAGCTGATGACCAAGTATGAGGTTTTTCTCTATTCAGTAGTACTTGAGAAAAGGAGGAAAAAATATTATGACAAATGACGTCATCAAATGAATTTTGCTTTCCTTTATCGGCACACTTGAACGGTTATAAATATAACGAAAAATCATTGCATTGGAAACAAACTGAGCTTAGATAAAGCTTACTTAATTAAACGTGTCCAAGGTACATTGCATTTGCTTTTTCTATTAGTTGTTATTGTACATCTGCTGTTTTTGTTAATATTATAAACAAATATTGTCTCAATTTAACCAATCTGCTTCTATTCTTTATTTAAGAAATGACTTTAATATTTTTTCTGTCTATGAAGAAATAACATCAAAAATGTTGTGCACACTGAATAACCCGAATAGCGGGTTACTTCAAAGTGTGCACCACATTTTTTATGTTATTTCGAATAGACAGAAAAAATATTACAGTCATTTCTTATAATTTAATTCTTAATTCCATTTTAAACCGGAGTAAATCATGAAAAAACGTTGATGACGTCAAGGTCACATGACAAAATTATGTCTATGAGCTGATAAACAAAACAACGTCAGCCAATCGGAAGACGCGTTACATCCAAAATTAAATTATTGTTGTAATGGTGCAATAATTAGATATACCTTTCCTAATATCAGTTACAGTTTTCGTATACAATACGATGTAATGGCAGGAATCTCAGGACTGGAATCCAACACAACGGGATCAGCTGAGCTCCGGAAATAATCTGCACGGTTGCGCAGTAAATAACTGGTTAAGTCCAGGTATCAAATGCGGTTAGGATATCATCTTTCCGGACCTTTACTACATTCCTCCCTGTCTTATGAAAATGTCAACCATCCATGCTAACAATTATAACAATATAATAATAAAATCCGTCACCGAACAGAAAAGAACTAGACAAAGTTTATAACTATCAATTAATCAGGAATCAAGTTAAAAACATATATACAAAACTCCTCTTCTAGCGTTTAATCTATGTTGTAAAGTTGTCTTGCATTTCTAGTTGTCACCCTAGCTATGTCTTCAGAGGGAACATCGAACATAGATGCAAGCTTCCAAATGATATCCTTTAATAGTTCTGGAGATGCCTCAGGATATCCTTGAGGGTGGAGATAAGGGGAATCAGTCTCCAAAACTAAATCTTCTAGGTCCAATTCACAAACAGTTGATCTGTAAGATGGGTATTTGTTATCCATAAGAAGGAATGGAGAGATGCCAAATTTACCGTTTGGAAACATAGTTTTGCATTGCCGGTATTCCTCCATGTCACCATTAAAACAATGCCAATGAATTGGATGGTCTTCCTCTAGGAAATTAGATAATGAATCCCTGCACATGTTTTTTAGCTTCTTATCCCTCTGCAATGTATAACTACAGGTAGCTGTTGCCTTTTTGCTATTCTCAACTGTTCTTCGAATACATGGACCTGTTTTTTCAGTTCCGTGTTGTTTGGATTATCGGAGGAGTCTAACCCACACTCCCCAACTGCCACCATTCTATTCACACAGATAAGCATTTCTAAATCTGTAATCCACGACTTCAGGACACTCATCTCCTCCCCTTTTACTACCCGTGGATGTATTCCAGCAGTCGTGCTTATTCGTCTATCCTTCCTGATTTCTTCCATCTCTTCTCTTGCTGGCCAACGTCTTGGAAATGCATAGTTTGCTACCAGGTGTCTTATTTGGTATACTGACTCACCATCATTCCACTTATAGATCGGTAAGCCAGAAAATCTGGCTTGTTGTTTAATCTTGTCCAAATGGAAACGAGAATCCGTAACCATAATAACCTGTTGAATGCTACATTGATAAAGGGATATTTTGTTTTCATATGTAATGAGGTTTTCTACATCTTCAGTTCCTTTTAATAATAAGGCCAAAATTTTCCAATGTACCAAAGAATATATTGCAGATGGAGGAAATACAACATGAATTACCTCTACATCAAATCTGTTTTTTTTTATTGTAGAATTTCAATAACGGTATGTCTGTCCAATGAAAGACAGCTGACTGGCATTGTTTAAAAACAGCCTCCGTTCGTACATAATCTACCAGATGGTCAAGCGTTTTCTTGTCATAGCGCTGACAGAGTTCCAAAAGGAGACCATTCATTAATTCTGTCCATACTGATTGTTGTTCTTCCTTGAATGTATTTTCAGCAATATTACAGTTGTGAAGCTCAAGGCAATGATTTTCTAACATTTTGCTCTGACCAAATTGCTTATGACAAGTCCAACATGCAGTTAGTGGATAAGTGTACCAGGGCAAATGTTGGTGAAATACATGCCTTCTTACATTAGTAAAACGACCTGGACATACCGGACAGAGTCTTGCCTTGCTTAGGTTCCTACTACTGCCTTTAATTCTTGTATCTTTCTCCAATCTTTCAGGAATTTCCCCATCAAATGGACCATAATCAAGTTCCTCATCCATACTTAAAATAAATTAATCAACATGTAAATATATACATAATAATCCTATTTACACTATTTCAAATATCTATTGTACATAATCGTGCAAGTAGGACGGCATTTGTCTTTTCCGCCTACCAGTTTGTCCCCGTCTGGACCCATTATCTAATGTACATGTATCACGATTTTTATCATCATGGTTGGGTAACGGCGAGTTTTGACTCAAGTCATAAACAAATGTCGCATCTAAATTCCGAGGGACGTCAACTAGCGAGTGAAGATCTTTAAGAATTATACGTTCATTTTTTGAATCGATTGTCAGAGAATCTGACACAAAGAAGGGATCATCATAATTACAACCGTCAGTCAGAGATTCTGACAAGGAGTGCCAATCATTTTGATTATTTTGATTCTCATCACTAAATAATATATCAAGATATAAATCGTCCAGATCCATATTGGTGTTTTGCTCCAATTTATTCTCGACCCTTCCAAGAATATCATTTCTAAGTCTCTGTAACCATAGAGGTATTTCTCTGTCAATGCAGAGTTTGAGTCTATCATAATGCACGACTTCCTCTCTTTTCCTGTCTTTAATCTTTAGCAATACTGGAGACTTAACTTCAATAACCACATATGGACCCTTCCAAGGAGCTTTTAATTTCGGAGATATCCCTACTTTCCTGGCTGTATCTAATTTTATTACAATATCTCCTACGCAATATTTTCTGAAGTTAAGATTTAAATCGTAATCTTGTTTTTGACGTTTCTGTGCGGATTTAAGATTTTCCCTGGCGATATCATGAGCGTCCTTTAAAGAATTTCTTAAATTTTGAACATACTTACAAATATCTTGATCCGGAAAACGTTCTTTAATTTGTCCTAATACCAGATCAATAGGCTGATTTACCTCTCGTCCGAAAACCATGAAATTTGGTGTAAAACCAGTTTGTCGATTCTCTGTTGCTCTGATAGCACCTGCTAACTGTTGTAGGTGTATATCCCATCTGTTGTGAGTGAGTCTTCTTCAAGAAACAACGGATTAT